TGGCTCAGCTAGGAGTCTTGGGGGACATACTCATTGATACGACATGTAAAACTGCACTACTACGTATCAGCCCACTCTCAGCGCGACACTACTCATTTGAATTCACCAACAACAGGATGTACATATTACTACCAAGCTTCGGAACCATAACAGTACATGAAAAGCACAGAATATACTGTGTGCACATCGACGACATAGCTATGACTACAGTGGAACCATCGCTGGAGAAAGCCAATCAGATTTCATGGCACAACAGGCTCGCGCACCCCAGCTACCTCTCAAAAAAATTACCCTACATAAGGCAACCAGAGGAACGATGTAGAGCATGCACTATTGCTAAGAATAAGAACAAGAATACAAACAAGGAACGACAGCACGAACCTGCTATAGTGCCTCTCGAGTTAGTCTTCGTGGACATAATAGGACCGTTCGTAACGTCAATAGGATCCAACACCCACTCTGTATCAATCATAGACGATTTTTCTGGCATTGCCAAAGAGTATCCGATCCGCGATCTGAAAGCGACAACAAATCTGGATGCTATGTTACACACCTTCGATGAATGGTACATCTTAAGTCATCGCCGAGTTCAGTCCATACAAATGGATCGAGGCTCACAGTTTGCAGCAAACGTAACGAGGCGCATGCTTGCATATTTGGGATACTGCTCGAGGTACACACCTACGGCCACGCCACAATACCATGGCAAGGTAGAGAGACTCCATGGTGCACTGGTTTCTAGAGTGCTTGCACAACTGAAATATGCACGTCTACCGACTACTATGTGGGCTGAATCACTGATTCAAACTACCAACATATACAATGCTATATCCACCAACGAGAAGAGCTCATCCCCATACGAGAAGTTTACAGGATACGCATTTTCGATAGATATGTTCAAGAACTGTGATCCAGACGGCAAACTCGACGACAAAGCACTGGATGGCATTTTTCTTGCGCAACCCTTGGACACAACACCGGACTCGTAACGTATATACTCACCTCTGACCAAGCGTATAATACAAAGCCGAGACGTCTATATATTCGAAGATGAATTATTTGTCTGGGAAGACAACAAAATGGACAACCGCTATCGTACGACCTGACACTACGAACAGTAGTACATTCCTCCAAATCGAGAATGGCGACTTCCAAACGGACGCAAGGACAACATCGACAACGAAAGATATGCTTAGCCAACATGCCCAGCCAACTGTGACGCACAAGTCGAGCAACTCAGAACAAGTACAAATAACTTCATCTTCAACACGACAACCTGCTGAGTGCGAAGTACATACCATCAAGTCGGAGGCTGCTGCAGCGACTACCAAAGCTCAACATGATCTCGAAGCAACCATAGCTAGAAGAACGGCAGAAGGTCGCCAAGTCTCTCGAAAACTGCGGGACTTTGCGATATATGATAATAATGTCGACTGGTATCACGATATCCGCCGTAAGAGACGAACTCCTAGCACTACGCACACTGTCAATTCAGCAACTGCAGCAACGGAACCGAAAACATACAAAGGTATATATGAGATGCCAAACACAGCCGATTGGGAGGAATCAGCACGTTCGGAGATGGAGAGCTTGGTGATACAGCGCAAGGCATTCACTCTAGTTGACAACAAACCGCGAGAGAAATCATTATTCCCCCCTCGATGGGTCTTCAAGGCAAAAACGGATGAATTAGGACAAGTCACACGACTCAAATCACATCTGAAAGTAGCAGCATTCAACGCAAAATAGGGAGTCAATTACGATGAAAGCTGTGCCCCAGTAGTAGCCAAGGAAACACTCAGGATCTGTCTAGCTCTAATGGCACACTATGACATGGACATTCGACAATACGATACACCCTCGGCATACCTCACTCAAGAACTGGATACCCCTAGCTACATGCGAGTGCCGCAAGGATACGATCTCATCGAACATCTATTGGTCCCGTCTCAGAGAAACCTATACGAAAGGCACAAGCAAGGAGACACAAAGGTAGTATGTCGAGCTGACCGTCGTGTATACGGTCTACCACCTAGCGGACACTACTGGTTTAAAGCTATCCATCGGTTTGCTATACAACACATTTATAACCAAGTACAATCGGATGGAGCACTGTTCATCAAACAAACACACAGTGGACCTTGTCTCATTATTATACACGTAGATGACAAAATTGCAGCATGCCAGTGTATGACCGACGGACAGAATGACGCAATGAAAGGCAAATGGAACACTGTTGATATGGGCCTACCGTTGTGGTTTCTCAAGTGCCAAGTGGAAATACTTTTTGGAAGAGTACGTCTCCATCAACGACAATACTTAAGAGAAATATTGTAGGAATGGGGGTTGATAGATTGTAAACCAGCGTGGGTGCCAATTTTAGAATCGGACTATGAAGTAGCAGACAAACATGCATATCTCCAGAAAAGGGCGGCAAGCTCAGACGTCCCAACAATCACACACTATAACAAGCTAGTGGGTCAGCTACGATACCTTGTAGTCAAACACGAGTGAATATATGCTTTGCAGTTTCGATCCTAAGTCGCTATCTGATAGCACCTCAGTACCACCACTTCAGAGGTGCCAAGCGCTGTTTGAAGTATCTCGCTGGTACTCAGGACTTCGGACTTGAATACACGAACAAAGAACCATGTATTTCCTATCTGAGTGCAGACAATAGCTTTGCTAGCGATGACACAAATAGACGATCCACCACCGGGCGAGTGGGCATTATAGCAGGTGCGCCATTCATATGGGGAACAAACTTGCAACGATTAGTAACAACGTCTACAGCAGAGGCAGCATACGTAGCACAATCTGATACAGCCAAAGACGCAGTATGGGCTAGGGATCTCTTCACAGAATTCGGCATTCCGCTCGTAGAACCCACCACCATAGAACAGGACACCAAGTCAGCAATACTGATGGGAAATGGTATCACGAAATCCCGCCGTACAAAACATGTCGATCTACGATACCATCACATCAGGGAACTCACATCGAACAACACCATCAAGTTAAAATACATCCCATCAGAACAGCTACTCAGTGATTTCTTCACGAAGCCACTCAGCCGAGAGAAGTTTACCGACATACGCGACAGACTAATGACTCGGATGCCAGTATCAACATAGTTCAATTTATAATAAAGGTAAGTATTTTAAGGTAAGCAGGTGTCAAATGCTTTGTGCTTCTATCTCTGACTGCAAAATATACAGATATATCGTACCTTGTAAAAGGAGTGTGTACAAACTGATTGTATTATATGTAAAAATGAAATTATAAATAATGTACACGCAATATATAACTATATATTTGTTCATATAATTGTTCCTATCGATAAACACCCAAGTATTTACTTGTGCGACCGTGTTTTGACATAAAATACTCTGAAGTCAAAGTTGAATCCCGCAGACAATTTGTATTCATCGATACACATAATATTAGTAACTTACTGGTTCGTTTTAATTTTTATGCGTGATATCGTAAAAGTTGCATAACCGTGACTATTTGTATAGAAATTCACTCGCAGTATATAAACAAAATTGTGACTTTCGCAGCCCACAGGCCCTACATGGACCACAACCCTTTTTAGAGCAACCATACGAAAGATAGCAGCCAGATCGCAACATAAGAGCCGCACGTTCCAAGACCCAAGAGAAAACCTTAACCTCACAGTCTCCGAGTCTCAGCCTCTCAGGCCACATCCCAAAGTCAAACCAATATGCCACAACGCAGAAGGGAGCTGTCCCCCAGCATCCACGCCACAGTCCACACCGATTCAGTAAGCAAAATGCATTTTTCAAGAAAATCTCGAGTATTTTTACCTGCGAAATTGTGATGCCTGTCCCCGTGCAGAAGATTATCCACGCCAGTCGTGAAGCCTGTCACTGTACAGGAGATCGTCTACTCTTCAGAAATGTCACCGTTTTCAACAATTTTCATCGAGATAATACTCAACAGCACCAATTCGTAAACGTCTTCGACAAATATACATTGGTTCAACGCTTATCGCCGAATCCACCTACAGAGTCAACAATTTCACAATCCAGGTCTTTAGTCTTCAGCCTTCATTAGTCTTCAAATTTCAATTTTCAGACTTCAGCCCTTGTTGATTGTAAAATCGAAGGGGAGTGAGAGACTACAGGTCTCAGGCCATATTTTACAGCAAGAAATCATCTTTGATTTATGGAAGTCATCATAGTTAGCTCACTCCCGAGAGCTAATCAGGTTGCTCAAATTACTCTCAAGAGTTGAGTTATTATTTAACCGACTTCCGAGAGCAGATTAAGTTTCTGAACCGATTCCCGAGAGTGGATTAAGCCTGTCAACCGCAACATATTAATAATAGCTGTGGTTATATGTGAGTCACAACCTATGCGGAAAGGCATCATGTGATCAGCGTAAGATTTGGTTGCAGAGAAGTAGAAATAGAAAAGCATCGAAGTGTTAAAGTGTTCCGCATAAGGTTTCTCATAATGGCCATATGAGTTTTTACTCTGGCCAGCCCAAGAGGCTGAACACTAGCACAAACACCTTAGATATAAAACCAAAGGTGAGTTCAGAAATAAATACATAAATTTGCACTTTATTTAAAGTCTACTGCATTGCACTCTAACAGAATACACTGTGTCTCACCACTCTTCGACAGATGCTCCGCTGATCAACCGATGTCAAACCGCGAAGTACACCTTGGTACCTCCGTCCTCCTTCACGGACCTCCCGATGGTGTATGCGGCGTTGGAACAACTCCAACTCCAGTCGATCCACGGTCAGGTGTCAGTTCCGACGGCGCTATAAGTCAACTGGGTCCTCCATGACCGGTACAGTCATCTCTTGCCCGATAGGCTCCGTCGACTCCTCCAGGTTAAGTGTTCCTGGAACGTTCCTGTCGCACTGCTCCGACCAGTTCTGGCCACTTGTGATGACTGTATATGTACTATGGGCGGAAACAGGGACTGCTCCAGCAATCTGCCAGGAAATCAATCTGGATTATACACATGTCGATCAATGAAGATGGAGAGGGATTTAATCAGGTACTTGCTGCACAGGATAGGTTCTCCCTCCGAGCATTCGGTACATGTGGCCGATTTGATGAGCACACCGCCTCGCAGTTGATCCGGTTTTGCGTTGAGTACTTACGACCCAGGGGCCATGTCCAACGTTATGTCTTGGATAAGGACAGTTCCATGCGCAGTGATGCGTTTACGGCATACGCAGCAGCAAATACTGCTGTGGTACATTACGTTTCCACGGGCAAACATGCCGGCAACGACCGCATAGAGGTCTCCTTACGTATCCTCAAGACATGGTTTAAGCGGTCCCTTTCAGTAGGCCTGCACCACACATGGCGCTCCCAAGTTCCGATTTTCTTCGCGAATTACAACGCGACATGGTCAAGCGTTATTGACACGGCCCCGTACACTTTGGTTACGGGCCGCATCTACCCTCGTCCATCAGACCCGGTAATAACGGCCCTACTTGATGCGGATGCGACCGCCTCGAGTTTCGAAGCTAAGGTGGAGGAACCGCCTCTAGATCGGGGCCTCCTTGCACTCCGCGCAAAAGGTCACGGCGGGCCGCCAGATCTTATATTGGCCCATGGCGGACCCACCGCACAAATTGGCGAAGGACTGGCTGGGCCCGGTGATTGTAACGACCCATGTCCCTCCGGTGATGCACTATATCAAGGACACGACCCTCAATAAAGAGTAGCGTGTCATGTGCCGCCCCTGGGCTGATCTGAGTTGGTCCCGAGTGGAACGGTGAGGTCCCACTTTGTCTTTAACGAGTCCGAATTCTCGGCACAGATGTCGGAGACTGAGCGATACCAACTCATTTTCGCGTTCCGGACGTGTGCTGCCGCAGTCCGATTCCAATATGGGATAAACTGTGCCTACACGAAGTGAGACCGCCTGTGTGCTGCGCACAACCACCTCCGGTCGAATAAATTCACGACTGACGATGAGGCGTTCTTTGATGATCACGCCAACCAAGTGGCGAACGCTTCAGGCACGCTCTCTCAGCTGCGCAGTCCTTTCCGTTTTGCAGCTTCCTCAGCGTTCCGCCAGGAGATGTTGGCCACCTGGAAGCTCAAGCACGACTCGCTCCAGTTGACTGACCCCCTCCCACCCCAGGAGGCGCCGGCCCACTCTACAGCCTTATGTGGCTTTGCCACCGTGTGGGGTTTTGCGATGTCGACCACGGTCAGCCATAGGTGATCTTCTCTTTCCTCAGGACATGCCCGGGATGACTAGCATGTAGCTGACTAGTGATATACACTACATTAAAGGATTGGGGGTGGTTGATTATTCTGACCCCTGTGTTGATGTGTCGAGACTCCCTCGATGTGACGACGTCACTGTATTCTACGACGACGGTCGCGGCCCTTTGATGTTGGCCAGCCGTCCACCACTGACACCAGGCGTAGTGTGTATGTCTTGTACACACACCGGCCGTTGGCTGCTTCTGTCTGACCGTCGGATGCACACTACCCTGTGGGCTACGGTACGACGTGACCACGGTCACCCCCGATGATGCCTTCCGAGCCAACAAGTTATGTTACGAGGGCACACGCCTCGGCCTCTCTCTCCCACCGATCCCCCATTCCTTCTCTCCAGCGCTGTCGCGTTCCTACCGCACTCCTATACTAGCCAACTAACCCCACACTCGTCCGCCTGGCACCTACACACTCTCCTGCTCAATGTTTGTTTATTTTTCACTACCACCATTTTTCTGTTTATTTTGAGACCAAGAAATTGAAAATCTCGTCAGCATGAATTTCGGACATTGACTACCCCAAATTTGGGCCAGTTTCCAACTTCTTGAGTCTGTCCGGGGCTGTAGTAAAAAGGTGGTCTCGGCCCCAAACCACAATGAGGGCCAGCCCGGACCTACCGGACCTTGATGACGAGAACCCAGGGCACTCAGATACCTTCTTGAATAGCTCTCTCCTTGGAAGCGACAAGATTGATGAGAACGTCGGTTCCGTCCGCCCTGCTGGGGGAGTGGGGGGGGGGGGATACATACCTATATAAATACATAATCATTGTTTTCGAGGTAAATACACATACAATTAGCACTTTGTAACCGAAAGTAGACGACCTTATAACTGTACAATGTGGTGACTGGTGACCGATCATTTGTGATATAGGCGCTGCGCTGTTCTTTTAAGTACACAGAACTCTGTTCATCACTGTCACTTCCAAATTTTCAACATAATGGCTCGTGTTGTAGTGTTTGTTCACGCTCAAACTCTAAGCTATGTACTATTCATCTGTGACTCAACTTAGTCACATATCCATTTAAATATTTTGTATACCATATTGTTATATGTATACACTTGCTGCAATACCAAAACATATCTATATACATAAAAATATATATAAATACAAATGTGGATGGTTGCATGACGCTTGAGTCAGATGAATGACACGTTCGTCTTTTATCCGACTCTTCTTGTTATTTATACCGGAAAATATTCGCAGGTGCATCAACAGAACTCTAAAACCTGAAATCTCAGGAGAATCCGCGAATAACGCTTCAATTTGACAACTTATATATGCTAGCAATATCAACAATAGCACAAGACAAAAGCTGACTTAGATGTTATTTGCACATTATTCCTGCAGGGGTTTTTATATATATCCAGAGTTGGAAAGCAGTTCAGAAAGAGGAAAATACTTTCGACTCCTTGTATTTAGCATGTAATACATATGGCAATCGAGTTGGAGCAACAGTATCGTATCGATATGACATCTCCACTTCAATGTACGCAGACTGCTGAATATTACCATTTTTGATGTCGCTATAAATATAAACAAACATAGACCATCATATATTAGCTATTAATAATATTGAACTTCTAAGTGTTGTGAAGTTTTGCTCGATTTACATTGGTCCATCCGATTCGTCGGGAACTTGGTTCTTGGGGATGCCTTGTATTGACATGTGATTAAGTACGAAATTATCAATATATTATTTTTGTCATGGTCTCTATTTTTTTGAGAATCCGTGTGGAAAATGTCGTCGTTTTGATTCATTCCAGATATTGTCTTAAGTATCTTCACAGCCGGCTATTTTCAGCCCCAAACAAAAGATACCAAGCTCTTGGTCACTTTCAATTTGTTCGCATTTCTCAAATAAGATATTAATTTTATTGAATTTGGTAGAAATTAGTGCAAAAGATTAGTCACGACAAATGCATCATGTAAATGTTATTACAGTTATTGTTTGACTATTGACTCGTGTTGGTGGCATCACTCATGTTATAGGAATCAAATTCCATAGCTGATGTAGTAAATTAGGTGAATAACTGAATCAAACAACCTAGTACTAGGTAGATTGGTTCAGCCATTCACCTAATTTACTATAAAACTGGAAAGCGTCGCGAGTACTTCGATCTCAGTCCGCACGATGCGCTCCTGGGTGGATTCCTTTGAACCTTTCACGCTGTGATCACCACTCCTAAGCGAATTTCTCTGAACCTTCCACGCTGGGCAATAGTGCTAGTCTAATACTAGGTTGGGTAGTTCAGTCATTTACCTAATTTACTACACTGGACATTGGCTATGCCAATATATAAGAACCAGTCTTCGAATATTGATACCTTGTAGTCGGAAAACCCCTGCTACTCTTTTGAAAATAGCAATATGTATACTGTATAGTTAAGGTATATTCTTGACAAGTACTTGGTCAGCAGTTTCAAGTTGGTTTGAGCTGCTGCCGTTTTTGTTATTGACCAGTTCTTCCGGGATACTCAAATCTATGTACTTTATATATCAGATGAGACAAATGTTGTGTGTTCAATCTATGTTGTACAATCTGCTGCATATGTAGTCAAAAATGAGTAATCCTATTTTGTCTGTACTTCACCTTGACCAATCAAGATCCCTTCCAGAAGTATGAGTATACAATGGCAGATTAGAATTTCACCAGTTATTATGTCCTGTAACTGTAATCAACTGTAGAATATGCAAGAAAATACATTCTAGAGGGTTGGCTTGATATATTGCGCTTTTACAGCTAATGGTAAAACCCATGATATATACACCGCTGTAAAGCTGAGAAAATATCTAGAGGTTTGGCTTGATATATTGCACTTTTACAGCTAATGGTTAACCCCATAATGTATACAGAGTTGTAAAGCTGAGAAGATACGCTGAGAATATAACAGTCAAAAGTGTGTAGTTTACGTACTTGCCACGAATCCTAACAAACAAGTATATCAATTAAAAAAAAAATTCTAAAAGTAAATATACTGGATTGCACCAGTATGACATAAAAAGTAACAAATAAGATGAATGACTGATCCAAATGAATCCTAACAATCAAGCATATCACACTATAAAAAAATGTAAGACATTATGAATAATAAGTAATATGAATGACGGATACTATGTTGGTTGTTTCAGTCATTTACCTTATTCACCACATTAGTAGGTGTACCCTTAGTATAAACGGTCAAATGCTTCTGTGTACGTGTACAGCGCACACGCGTTAAAAACTTCACAGTGAGGCAATGTATTATTGTAAAACTTGTGTACAGACTGGCGAGTACATAGATACTTATATGTGTACACCCTTTATGTGCACGTTTAGTATTAATAGTATATACAAAAAAATTGCTACGTATATTTTT